CTCTGGAGGCCCCCCCCCCCCTTCACATGAGGAGCCCCTCTTCACATCAGAGTCCTTCGTCCCTCCCTCAGACCAAAGTTCTACTATCACACCAGGAGCCACAACTGCCGCAGCATGGTAGAGGGTGGGAGGAAGAGCAGGCCTGGACAGAAGTAAACTTCCATAATTTCTGAATGGATCCCTGGATCTGGATTAGTGTCCTTCATGGTGTTGGTGGCTCACCTGCACCATGGAAAGGCACGGCACTTAAATTTTAAAGGCGCCCCTGAGAAAGCCGGAAGGTTGAAAGCTCAAGTTTATTCTGCTTATATTTCACTTTCCCTGGAGTGGGCGGCCCTGCCCTCGGGGAGCTTGCAGCCTATGGTCCCTATCTCGCATGTGTACAAACATTTAGCCAGAGTTTTTAGCATGCCATTTAGCATGATTTAGCCAGAAGTCAGTCAACCTACCAGATTTTTTTTCAAGATGCACTTGATTCGCTGAAAACTTTCCCCAGTTAAGGAAACGTAGATGACACTGCCATGGCCTGGAGAAGACCCTCAATGGACGTTACTTTACTGTCTTCAGCTAATCCCCCTCCCCCTTTGTCCCTCAACCTTATCGGTGAAAAGCCAGATCATTTCAAGATATGGTGACGACTAGAGATAGGGCTCCCCAATCCAGACTTTTCTGTTGCAATATTTTTAATTAAAGTTTTGTCAAAATGTTAACATTAGAGAACGGTTCAGACATTTCCGAGAGTACAGTAACATAACGGAGGATAACAACTATACAGCAATTGATATATAGAAGCATCTCACGAGGGGTACAATTGCTATTCAAAGCCATAAACCTAGGAGTGTTGGTCTATGATACTGCATGACTAAATGGGTGTCATTATCCAAGGATGAACCAGGGATAAAACAGTACGGAGGGTCTAAAGGGGGTTAACTGCAGAGCAGTAAAGGAAGAAAATAGGATAGAAAAGAACAAGAGTAGAACGGTATCAACATCCTCATGGTTGGTTGAATAAAAGGGTTTCCACTACAGTTAGCCACCAATCGGTCCTTATGTTGTGAAGGTCAGCTCACCACACTCCCATCGATCCCTGCCGGTCCATACCCTTCAGTGCCCTTAGATACCCCGAACACTAGTCATAATCATATCAGGGTGGCGGTGAAGGATCCAAGGTTACCAAGTACCCAGAAACTTTTCTTGTTTATCCTCCAAAATGCTCAATCCAGAGTTTTCATTACTCAAAGCAAACTACTTGTTAAACATTTATCTAACTTGGTGTTCATCTCACCAGCGTACCACCTTCCAAACCCTTCACACCCTGCTATATAGATCTATATCTGTTCTTGAATGCTGCATGAACTGCTCATTGTCTGATCTTTGATTTGTTTCTCCTGCAGAGATAATGGAGAAGAACATGAAGTGTCTTCTGAGCATCGTTTGCTTGACTTTTTGTCTTCACCTCAGTCAGGCGCAAAGTGAGTAACAAACATTAATCTCCCCATAATCTAGAGACATAAACACCCCCAGTGTGTGTCGCTATACTTCCTATTTCATGTATACTTAAAGCTGTCAGTGTGTTTTCAGTGTGTACGTATTTTATGTTAGGGGTAAAAGCAATGACTGTAAAAAAAGCTAATTTGGACAATAGACCATTTATACCAAGAAAATATGACCAGGTGTGTCTTCCGGGAGCCATAAGGAATTCGGCCTACAGTGGTCATCATAGATGGTCATTTTAGAGATGGAGGGAAGATGGGAGGGGGACAATGCTGGTAGATAAACTCATTTTTACTGAATCAAACTAATTCATTTTTTCTTTTTTTTCCCCCTTTTACAGGTTTCTCATCATGTAAGTATCTTCATCTCCTCTAACTCTTTCTTGTAATGTGCAGATTTTTAGAACTCCAGCAGACCAAGTTGGTGGTGGGTACTTTATCTAGATGGCAGATCCTTTACAGAACCAGTTATTAGGTTGGTGAATAGGTTGTGCAGTGTCCCACCTTTAGAATTATGGTCAATCACCACCGATAGCTGTCTTACTTATACAGGCTATCATGAGTATTTGTATGTTGAGGGGTGAGCTCAAAGTGAACACCTACATTAGAATTAAGTCAGAGAGGACAAAATTTAGTTGCTGAAAAGTATAAACAATAGTGGGTTGAGACTACAGGGGTGGCTTCAGAGAGTTCCACAGAAAAGGTTGTTTCACATTAGCTCATGAAGGGCTCTGCCATGTACCTGCCGGAGTTGATGGGGGGGGAGATGGAGGGGGGGCTCTTTTGCACATCTTTTAAACCCATCTGGTAAATGATAATAGGTAAATGGCAGGAGTGCCAGTGTAGCAGACAGTACTAGATCTGTGTGTCAGATGGATTGGCCAGACATCTGTAGACCACTGGACAGGGACTACAAAAGGGAACACCATGGTACAGGAATGTAGACAGGATACAAGCTGAGGTCAGAAAAAAGGACCTATTCAGAAAAAAAGGAACAGAGTCAGGTATACAAGCCAAGGTTGTTAACAGCCAAGTAGCAAGGCACCAGTTCAGAGGGCAGGAACAGCATTGGAGATTCAAGCCATGGTCGGTGACTGCTGGGTAGCAGGGGTACAAGGCAGAAGGGAATAAGCAGAGTCACATAGGTAGGCCAAAGTCACAACAGTTAAGCAAAGGTTCAGAGGCAGGTCACAAGGCAAGCTAGGTCATAGAAGGTAGAAACAGCAAGTCAGGTCACAGGTAAACAGGGACTAGCTGAAAACCAATCGGCAATCTTTGGATGCAGTGCTCCAGTTTATAAAGGCTGTTTGGCGCCAGCACCAGTACCAAATATGCACACATGCTCACAAATGCTGCAAGGTGTGCACACTAATGTACGTCCGGTGGTCACTATGCAAAGGGACACACGCCATAGTATGAGCACACTTGTGTTCTTGTCCTGGAACAAAGCTAACCTTCCTTGCATGAGTAGAATACCTAGGGGAACCTATTTATAGCTTACTTTAATTAGAAAACCATTAAAGTAGATGTAAATCCTAATTGACTGATATCAAGTTTGCTTTGTGTGCCACAAACAACTTTTTTTCATCCTATGTTCCGTCTTCTGCCGTCACTTCCTGTCTACATGCACTCCAGTGATGGCTGAATGGCACTTTTCAGAGCTAGTTCCTGATGGTTGACAACATGGTACCATGCCAGCATAATGTGCATTGAGATGGCTATTTGTAGTCTCTAGCAGAAGCTCCAGCAGAAGCCTATGTGACAGGATGACAATGCAGGAGCACAAATGGGAGACAGGTACAGAATGTTACCCTATAACAGGAAGTGCCCAAGCCAGGACCTTTATGGCAGGAACAGCAGGGATTATTTTGATGAAAGCTGAAGATGTAAAGTATTACAAAATACTTTTGAAATTGCTTTAGTATATCACACCAAAACCTAATTTTGGATAGCATATAGAAGGCTTCATTAGGTAGATTTAGCCCCACTTCCTGTCTTTTTTATCAAACAGAAATTAGGGAAACAATCTTCAACAAAGGACACAGACAGAAATTAAAATCTGACAGTGGTTTTAGCTTTCCCTTACTCTGCTGTCTGTGCTAGAGTTCCCCTCACTTCCTGTCTAGTACAATAGGAAGTGAAGGGAAATCTCTCTAATGCCCGTATAGCAGTAAAAACCCAACAGGGTCTCCTACCCTTCCCTATTCTACCAAAATCTAGGAAAAAAGAAAAGCCGGTATTCAGTTAAGGTTCTCTGTACAAGTCGCTGGTCCCTTTCTAAGTCGCCCATCAATTCAATATTGTCTCTTTTAAACAGATGCCAGAACATGCAGCAGTTGTAACTCAACAACAACCGCCAACTGTGAGAACAGTCAAGGTGTCGCTTTGTGTACCTGCAAATCCGGATTTATCGGGGACGGCCTGAGTTGTACACGAATGGCATTCTGCGACAGCCTAAAGTGTTGCCCGGATGGCTACAGGTGGGATGTGAAAACGAAGCAGTGCGTAGACATCGACGAGTGTAGTAACCCCGCGCTGAGGAAGTGTTCTCCATCAGATAACTGCGTCAACAGGAACGGCATCCACCTGTGTTCCTTCAACAAGAACGCTAAGTGCGGAGGGAAGGAGAAATGTGACGATGACGAGGACTGTCTGACAGTAAATGGGGTTGTTCAGTGTGCTGATCCCTGCTACAACTACAACACACTAAATGGAACAAAGCGACTTTACACTCTCAGCTCATCGGGAAGGTTTGAGAATGATCGTAACAGCATTGGTTGGTTCCGCTTTGTCGGCAAAGGGCTCAGCCTAAGAGAAGGATGCGTGGGGACCCTGAAGTGTGGCTCCTTTCAGCCATACTCCCTTGGAGATGACCACCCAGGCCATGGAGATGGGATAACCGTTGTGCCTCTGTTCAGTAACACAGTGTCACTCGGATGTGTCCGAGGAGCGGGTATTCCGGTGAAAGCCTGTCCAGAAGGATATTACGTGTACAAGTTCTCAGGATTACTGCGATTTGACGTCTACTGCACAGGTAAGGCCTCTGTCTATGGTGGCAGCTTGGTAGGGCATACAAATGCTGCAACCACCTTATTCCTAGAGTTGCCTGGCTGCTATTCTAACTTATGATGCCTTCTAAGTCAGAGGCCAGGAACAAGGTGAGTTCTTCAACAGTGACATTTTAGTCCGCTTGATCAGCTTGACAGTCAGGCAAAAGGGATCTTTAGGAGCTGAGGTCAGCTATGATAGCACACATTTTTTTAATTTTTGCACACACGTGTTGTAATCTGAATTTTTGGCTAGAAAACTACTTAAAATCCCAAAGCAATTATATATTTTAATAAGCGTTTCTTACTCCCAGGGCCTGGTCCCCGGCTCAGAAGTGCTTACCCTTACCACGCTGACTAATTAGCGCGTATAATTGGCGAGCATTATGAGCATTCCATGGTACAGGCCAGTGTATAGGCCGCTACAGCGACTGACAGGGACTTCAAACTTGTAGGTGCACCTTATTCAGCTGAAAGTAGTAACACTGGAAATAGGGTTGGAGACTTATGAATTTGTTTGTAAGGCCCGTAAATCCCAGCAAGTGGGAGAGAAACATTTGTTCCACGTTCGCGCAATGGGAAGGTCAGAATAAAAAAACTATTTAAGACATCTATAAAGTTGTTTGTGTGCGAATGACTGAAATGTTTATCTTTTATTTTCTTCTTTTCAGACACTGTAACTATTAACCCAGTTCCAACCACAACTACTACGACTACTACAACCACAACTCCAACTACAACAACAACTACTCCAACTACTACGACCACAACTCCAACTACAACCACAACTACTCCAACTACTACGACAACTACAACAACTACGCGCCCAACAACTACTAGGCCACCTACACCAGTTAAAACTCAACAGCCCAGCACCGACGCCATTGAAGGTTCAGGCGTAAACCACTGGTTTCCAACATTGGCCAAAGTTACTTTCTCAAATGTAAAACATCCTTTACCCACCACCACAACCCCATCCACAACCAAAACTTCACCAACAACCTCCGCACCTCCGAGAACACTGAGCCCCCCTGCTGTTGAGCTTCTCAAGATTCTTCAAAGATTACAAGCCTTGGCTGAAAGTATGTCAACAACCATTGAAAGACCTGAAAAGACCTGGATTACTAACCAAGTAACCCAGCTAACTCAGCAAATCAATGATCTAGACAGCAATTCTATTTCTGCTGCTCTTAATAGCTTCAAGAGTGAGCTGACACGTGCTGCACATAATTTCCTATCATCCAAATTCCAATAAATACAAATGTTGTTCTATTCCGTCTGTATATGGTTATTAATATGAAATAAGGGTAAAATGATTCATGTTCTTGTACAATATATATGAAGACATGGGATCCATCATGAAGTTCCATCAGATCCCAAATAACACTTACTCGGCTCTTTCCTTCTGCAAAGCAATGTTAATGAAATGCTCTAATAAATATTCATATTATATCGCTAGAAGCAAAGTAATCTCACTTATTCAACAAGCAGTGTAATGAACAATGATAATATGCAAAGTATCATGGCACAGCTGTAGGGGGGTTACTATTCTTTATCCATTATGCAGGAAAAGACTTTCGAGGGACGCACATCCTCCAAAAACTCTCCCTGATGGATTATTTATTTTATGGTGAATGAAACAGGAGGAAGCAGAACACAGACAGGTGGGCGGGGACACAGGGGTAGGCTGTAACACACAAAGGTGGACAAAAATGACCAAAACTCCAAGGACAGGAACAGAGCTGATTTTTATGGCAGGAAGATCTCACTTTTGAATGTCTGGAAGAGTGTCGAGCAAAACAAGATATGCAGAGAAATTGGCCAACTTGCAACAATTAGATGTTAGCCAAAGATTGCCGATTGACCTCAATGGACAAGCCATTTTTTCTGTCAAAACTATTCCTCCTTAGATCCCAATCCCGAATTACTTCCAGTCAGAGGGGGAATGGGCCAGTAGAAAGTTGCTGGTTATATTGATAACCATTCTTTATGCTGCTCAATATGACAGACCTCATTCTCACCTTACTCCCAAACTAAAAAACAGGATTGGGCCGGTGCCCCTCCCACCCTTCCCCTTTCCCACTAGAGCCAAATATCCCCCGACCCTCTACCAGGATGTACTTTTTGATGTTTTTGTATACTTGCCTTTTTCAGAAGCCTTTAGGATGGTTGCATGATGTGCAGGGCCCACACTTCCTTTTCTCTGGCACTAGGTAGACCTCGATGAGAGAGAACATCGCTGACATGATTACCTTAGCACTGTGCTCTCTCTTTGTGTAGTGAGTGCTGGGTGCTGTGGTGATGCACCCTTAACCTCCCCCACGTCGGTGGGCCTATGGTATCCTGCACTGGTGCCATGATTGCATCAAAAATAAACTCCGTCAGTATGGCAATCGGCCTTTGTAGAACCAGCAAATAAAACTTAAGTCTTGCGGTTTCCAGTCATTGCTCTCGTTCCTGATAGGTCACGTAGTTTGAGACGGACAGATAACGAAATTAATAGTAATCCAAAAGGTGGAGGATTATTAGGAAGGTTATCACTTTCTATGACACCTGGTACACCGGATGTATGTAATGCAATCACCTTGCTAAATGGAAATATCTTATCTTGCACTTTCTTTGTGGTTGATAATTATAAAATGATGAAGGCTTAAACTTGAAGATTTTTGTCAAATTAAAAACTATATTATCAATAAATCAATGCTGTTTAAAAAAACCGAATAGATTTCTATCAAATCAGCAAATGTATATTTATCAATAAACACATTGTATAGACTTCCTCTGTCATGTGCTTTGTGTCAGAACAGTGGGGGGGTCATGACAAACCTGGACAGAGCATCATATCAGCATGGAAGCTTTGTGGGGGGACGGGGCTGAGGGTTCCTCATGGGAGGGAAAAATAGAAAGTGATGAGGGATATATGGATTACAATCGTTCATATGATGGCCATGCACAGGCCTTGTGTTTGCAGGTAACCTCTCCTGATGTTTTCACCAGGAGAATTATAGGGAGAGTGAAATACACTCATCCCTACAGGTAGAGCAGACGTGTGACACTGCAGCTGTCACACGTTGGCTCTATTGATCGAGAACTGAACGATCACATACCGCTGATCGCTCAGATCTTGATCTTCTCCCTGCAGTCACCACATGGATTCTCCCACCTTCCGTTCCTCCAGCCCTGACTGGAGAGACAGATGGGGAGGGGGCGGGCACAGCTGGCTCTGGCTCTAGAGAGGCAAAGCCAGCTGTCAATCAGGCAGTGGGATGGATCCCGACAACTTTTCCGATCGCAGCACGGCTCTGCTCTGCAAGCAAATAGTCTGCAATAGCCCTCTATATACTGAGTTTTGGGTCACAGGAGGACATTAGTGAAGGGCCTATTGTGACCCTAAAGAGAACTATGGCCAAAAATGTTTGGAACATAGCTCTCTTTTAAAGTGTAGGGATTATCAGGTAGTTTATTCCATGTGCACTTCTTATTACAGGAAGTTATCCATCAATTGGATGGAAACATTCAGACCAGCTCCTTTCACATAAGGCGAATGAGACTTTTTGGTGAATGGAGGTGTGCCAACTGGTCAAATTTCAGCCGAGTCAGCAGAACTTCCACCCTTGGGCCCCATAGCAGCCGAAAAGGCTATGACTATTGTTATTCCACTGCTCCCATGAAATCCAAATGACACTGCGCTCAAGTGAATGATCTATATAGAAAGTGATACAAATCTAACAAGTTTTGTCTTTGACGCAATTTTAGCAGAAAACACGACATTCAAATGTGGGATATAATAAAGTGATAAATATCTTCAAGAAAATAAAATCTCAGCAAAGGTTTAAACCCGTGATGTACACAAGTTGCATGTGTATATACAGTACATGAAAAACAACAAACTATAAAGTATAAAGTGCCATAATAAATGTCCTTAAAAAATAAAGTGAAAAATTATGATTAAAAAATCAATATTTTTATACAGGACTTATATGGCGCCAACAGTTTGCGCAGCGCTTTACAATATAAGGAAGACCTTACAATCACAATACAATTCAAGACAAGATGGTAAGGAGGGCCCTGTCCCCGAGGGCTTACAATCAAAAAGGGAGAGGCCAGTGATACATGAGGAGGTGGCTGTGTGGGGATTAATTCTTTCTTTAAATTGATATTTCAGAAGTTATGTTGCGGTGGGATAGGCTTCCCTCAAGAGATGAGTCTCAATATGTCCATATGTGAAGTCGTAATGTTCCGTGAGTCTAAGTGCTCCACGAGTGTTAACAGAAAAGGTGCCACACTCACCAGATAGCCTTTGTAAACTCGCTTAGGGTGTATCCAATTGTTGGTCTGCCTCTCAGAAATCCCTGTGTCACGTACCTGGCCGGAGACTGAATGCGTGAGGAGGCCTCCCTTGCACCTCGTGTCCCGAGGACTCTGAGGTTGGGGACAAAGTCCAAGTAGACAGCGAGTGGCACGAGTGCCAGTGGTGATAACACCGTGCAAGCTGAAATCCAAGGGCTTTGATAGGCGAAATCCAAGTAAACGAGCCAAGGTCAAAACCAATCGAGCGATGAATACCGTGGTTATATGTCATCTTGAGTGATAACATCAGTTTCATCTTTGCTCTAACCTCCTTCTGACCCTATACGTACACTATCTCTTTCCTCTCTTCCATCTCTGCTGCCCTTCTTGCCTTTTCCCTCGTGTTGCCTGTATCCCCTCTCCCCCTGTGTCACTGACTCCTTACGACCTGGTCCCCCATACGCGTGTCAGGGATACGTGTACTACCCCGGTCACTCTAGTTCGAAATGACATTTGATAAGTCCCATCCAGGGGCCGGTGGACACGGACCCTAGCCATGGGGGGGTGTTGCTTATGACCTTGATGTGAAATTGGACCTAACTAACTTCATTGGTTTTGTGTTTTTTGTATCTCCTACACATTCCATACCTGTGTCTCTGTGTATCGTTTGTCACCTGCGTCTATAAGCTGAAATACCCTGTTAAACCACGAAAATCGAGCAACAACGGTACAGAGGTGTCAGGCAGAAGCAAAATCCAGTAAACAAATCCGAGGTCGGCGGCAGGCAGCAGGCAAGAATCGTCAAGACAAATCCGGGTCACAGCAAATCAAGAAGGAGATGCGCCGTTTGACGCGCTTTTGCTCGGCTGTTCCATGGCGCCCCGCACATGCGCGGAAGAGCGCGTTTCCCCATAGTACGGGAAAGCGTGCTTGGCGCATGCGCAGTTACAGGGGATCGCTTACACCCTGTGAGAGAAGTTCAGCAGCACCACCTCCTCCGGCTCTATACAGAAAAAAGCGCCACGACTTCTCCACTTCCGGTCTCCTCATAAAGGAGGTCCAGATAGCGACCCAACAATAGCTCAAAGGGAATAAATGGGGACATTTATAGTGCAGTATGTCCTAAAAAAAAACTTTATTAAAAAGGTTAAAAATACTCACAAGAGTCAAGAAACAAAATCGCATATAAACACCGCACCGATGTGCTCCTTCTATGTACAGACCGGGGTTTAGTGATCTCAACGTACACCCGCTCGTCTACATGTTTCGTCATAAGACTTTGTCGGGACGGCAATAAAAAAAAGGGGTGCTTATCCTTTCCCAAACTATTTTATTTGCATTACAAAAGAAAAAAATGTCAGCTATATACATTGAGTGGCCAGATTATTATAACCACCCCATCAGTAGGCCACGAGATGACTTCCACGAAATGACTTCGTTGGGCCGCCTGGTGACTCCACGAGATGATGAAAGGTGATGCGAGGAATCTGACACGGCACTGTTGCCCTTCTGTTGTCTTGTACCAGTCTTGCCCCTCCCCCGTTCTGCCCTAACATTGACTAGTCGCTGACGGCCACAATTCGCACGTTCAGACCCAGATTTTTTCGGCTGACAGTCCGGTCTTTAAACACGTTAACAATGAGCCGCTCCTGAACATTTAACGAATTCTGCTGTTTTGCTGATACTCGCTCCATGGCTCCGAGCGCCAACAATCATCCCGCGTTCAAAGGCTGTTACATCGCGTTGTTTCCCCGAATCTTCAGAAAACAAATCACTTCTACTGTCGTGGTAAACAACCCGCTTCCCTATTTATTAGGGATGCACCGATACCACTTTTTTAAGGCCGAGTACGGGTACCGATACTTTTTCCCAAGTACTCGAATCTATGCGCCCATCTATGCGGTTGTTACGCCACTGATCTGCTCCATTCTTACCTCTTCTCCCGCTGATTGGCCGATTGGATGA